TTTGGTCTCTCTACAAATTATCGTTATTATGGCAGCACTTTTCTAAGCTGGAATCTCAAACCAAAGGCACTTTCATGCTAGAGTGCAGAAGATTCACAAATAGCTAAGTATTTGGTCATGAATTTAAAAGGCAACATTAAAAGTACAATTTGCGAGTTGCAACCTTTCAGTTTTGGTATGTACATTTGAGAGTGCAGCCCAAAGGCCAGCTGGCACTCCCATTTCAAATTTTAGTCAGGTTCTTAAAGAACTTGAGAAAAAGGGGGTTATAAAACAAAACCTTTCTTTCCCCTGTTTTACATACTGGGCCAATTAGCAAATGAAAATCGAGAACAGGTGTTTAAGAAAAGGCTCGCGGCACGACTAGGGTATCTCTAAGGCACTGCTTTACTGGAACGCTTTGGCAGCTCTGAATTTAAAACTTCCTAAAAAAGTCACAGTAGTAAGAGAAATGCTTCCAGCTTACAAAAGGGCTCACAGTTCCGAGGCAGCCTTTTGCACTGCTCACCCTACATGCAACATCTCAGAGATTTAAGGCTTTTCAGAAATGACACGTGCAGGGCTTTTGCCACAGAAACAGCAATGAAAAAAAATCAGCAATGCAGACGCATCCTTCTAATGTCACAGGTGTGAACACCAACAAGCAGAACTGTTTCTACCATTAGTACGGACAGGTGTAGTGTACCAGAGCATAGAGATATTTAAAAAAAAAAAGTACAAATTACATGTACCTGGCTTGTCAAAATGACAATCATTTCATAGGTTTCCAATAACTGACAGTTGTACGAAAACAAATTGCAAAAGTCACCAACAGGATTGAAATCTACAGAAGCCTTCGAGTGGACAGTCCTTTGGGGACTTGTAACCCCAAGGGCTGGGAACGGGGGCTGCTTCTGGGCAGGTCTGAGTACAGGACTTTGCTGCTGGGATGCTCAGAAAACAGAAATTGGACTCAGAGCTTGTGGCCAGTGACTTGTCCTCAAAGGAGATGAAAAGGCTCATCAATTTTTCACATCCGCTCCACATGCTCCCCAACTGCTGCTGTCAGAGAAGACACACCAGGGTGACGCCGCTGCTTTAAGAGAAAGACGTTCCTAACTGTCCTCTCTCTCCTAAACTGACCATCCACACACCTGGGGATCATTTAAGCATGGAGCTCCAAAGAGAAACGCCTGTGACCTGATGAATCCAAGGATTAAGGACAGAAGACCTAGTGGCTAACCCTTACTCTGTCATTAACCAGCTGGATGGCTCTGCGCTGTGTCTCTTCTGGGCATGAGCTTTTTCACCTATAACACAGAGGAGGCTCGCTTGTTCCCTCCTCTATCCCTATTGGGGGAATGAAATGTGCAGAGGCTTCGGTAAATCCTACAAATAGTACTGATTATAAGGCAAGAAGCAGCAGATGTGCAGAGGAAATTTACTAAGACAAGGTGTGATAAATGAGAGTCATGAGCTTACCAGAAATAATGAGAAAAAAAAAAATCCCAGTTATCCAAGGACTGAAGATCAAATAAGCACTGTAGATGGGTATGGGGTGGTCACAAGGATTGTGGGGGCCAGTTGTACACAGCTTCTCCAAGAATGACTGAAAGAATACTTGTAGCATGAGAGAGACTCTTACTCAAGCTCTGAGACGGAGACACACATGTGCACAGTGTTAATCAATTAATACTCCTGTCTCCTGATGACCCAAGACAGGCCCTGCAGGAGATGAGCATCTTTGGCGGAATGAAATAGAAAGAAAAAGAAACCTCAAATAACAAAAACAGGCACGTGAGGTCTGGGGCAGTGGTTCTGAGCTGCGATGATTCTGCACTCCAGGGGACATTTGGCAAAGTCTGGAAACATTTGGGCTTTTCACCACTGGAGTAGGTCAAAGGAGAAGTTGGTGCTGGCCATTTGGGTTGAGAACAGGGATGCTGCTAACATTCTACAATGTACAAGAGAACCCCCAACAGCAAATGATCATCTGGCCCAGAGTGTAATGGTGTTGAGGCTGGAAACCCTAGTTGACGGTGGTTAGCTAGGACAGTCCATGACACTAAAGAAGTCCTGAGTCCAGGCCTCTCACTAGGTGGGAATGAACTCCCACAGACCACAGCCTCGGTCTTCTGCACCCCCTATCTCAGCTGTGCCTCCCCAACTCCCAGGGAGTACAACATGTCCCTGAAATGAGCTTGGCATGGGAGGGTCACTAGGAAATAGAGCACCTGAAAGTAAACACTGAGGACAGGGCTTTGAGAAGGCTTCGTTTAGGTTCAGAAAGTATTAAAGAGGGAGAAGACTGCCACAGAGGATGAAGGGCCAGAGAGACTCAGGCTGCTGGCATGGCACAAATCCCCCGAAGGGACTCACTGAGGGGCAGAGAGAGGCCTAAGAGCTCAGGGGAAGCATCTGTCCTGCAAAAAGCTTTAAAGGAAGAAAAAGAGAAAACAAAAGAAAATATTTTAGAAGTTTTTCAGAGCAAAAAAGAAATCCTCAAGGTCAATCCTATAAGCCCCTGGAACTTGGCGACAAAGGCACGAGGAAGCAGTGGACACTGGTGAGGAAGCAGGCCAGCCCGATGCAAGGAGCTCGGAAGACCAGTATGCCCTTCTCTGTGGATGGCACTACCCCCTAGATGGTCCTCCTGGGTCCCAGTAGCTGTGATTTGAAAAGTGAATCCTAAGAGGCCATCTGGCAGCACAGAAGCCCCATTTCTAGTGGGAGTATGAACCATCTCTCTTGGTCTTAGGTTCTGGGGTACCTGGATTTTAGCCATGAGAGATAATTCGTACTTCTTGAATAATCCTGGCCCTAGGAGACTGGGATATTCCTTAAGGAAAGTTTCAGGAAATGAACAAAAACCTCCACAAAAGCCCAAAACCATCCCTAAGTATTATGCCCAATAGATATCACTGCAATTGTGGAAACCAGAGAAATGAGAAGCTAAGATCCCTGGGTTGAAGACCAGATGAAAGGCAGCAATGAGGTGATGCTGCAAAGGTCCACTGGAGTCGGAAAACAGATGAAGAGTGAGAAGATAACCAATGGTCTCCTGGCTAATGGGAAGGATATGCATTCCATAGGGGGCGAGGCACAAGCTTTCTCCTAGGTCTTCCCAGTACCAGGGGGGCATGCTTCTGCAAGAGGCCAGGTTTAGTCCACAGTGTTCTTCTATTTGCCATGGGCCAACCATAACCTTATGCTCATTAACACCAGATTTTGACCAAATGTATAGGCAGGGTCAAAGCAAATGCTCAATGTGTAAATTACACAGATTACAGGAGTAGTGTTTACGTTCTAGCTTCAATAAAAAAAAGTCATATTTTAACATATTCATTATTTTAACATATTCACAAGATTTATCCAGAAATTCTTTTTCCCTGGGAAGTGTTTTTAGGGACGGGATACCTTCTTGTCCTCTTCCCAACGAAGCACTTCTAAAAATAACCCAAGACATGTGTCCACATCAAACCATGTCTGTCTGGGCAATGCTTTGGAGTATTTGGATTGCAAAGTTGAGCTTCTCCTGGGAAGAGAATGCCTCAAACGAACTTGTTTAGAAAGGTCAGAGAGAATCGTTGGGCCTCTTCAAACCCAAGTCAGACAAGTCAGGTGACTTTCTGAAAGGTATCAAGTAGATGGATGTCCTTAGAGATAATATATCTATATCTATGGACATAGACTGAGATACACATACATATCAGCACCTAGCAGACTGAGTGACACTAAGTAGATGTTCAATAAATAGATGTTGAGTAACTATATATGCCTATATGTATATATGTAAACATATCTACACATATACATACTAGGTAATAGTGATAGTAGGTTAACACACACCCTGAACCATCAGGAGAAAAGAAGCTATCCACAGGCTGGTAGGATGCAATTTTCTGGGGAGCAGAGATGTTAAAATGGATGAGCCTTTTCTGTGTTTGGTTGATGAAATTTTCTCCCAGCCATAGGACTTTCTATACTTTTGCAGCTCGCAGTGCAGTATTCATGCCAATTAAAAATTGTCTTATTAAATTTCAGTGTTTCAAATATTTACTTATCTTGATAAAAAAATTTGGTTGTCCATATAAAATATAACTGCACACACAAGACTATAAACATTGTAAGCTTAAATTTTCAATATTTATCTACTTATTGCAAAAAAGAGCCATCTGTCCTTTTTTCATTAAATAATCAGGTCATCACGTTAGTACAATATAATTTTATATTTTTTAAATATACTATATATGTTAAGCATAAGGGGTGAAGTTTTCTTTCTTTGTAATACCTGTTGAAAAAAGTTAAATGGATTAGGAGATTAGTTTAAACCTTGAGGGAAAAAAAAAGAAAACAAGTACAAATTTGTCTTATTAGGATATTTCTACCAAGCATTTCTTAAGGCTATATTTTAACATTTGGTTTCAAAAAAAGAAGGAAAGGTTTCATTTAAAAAATAATTTAGTGAATTACATTCTTTCATAACTTCCACCCTAATTAGTTACAAAGATAAGTCTAAAGATTTTTAGTTTTGTGTACTCATTTACATTTATATTTAAAGATTAATTTTACTTGTATCTTAAAACAAGAATTATATGTGGGAAAAAACCAGAACTAAATACATTTGTATAAAGGCTGTAAATGTCCCGTGGCAAATGCACTGTCTCAGTATTTTCGACCATAATTAGACACTCGCCTCTGCGGAGAGAGACTCGGGTTCTTAAGGTTCCCCTTTCCTGAGGAACTGGGATTGCAGGTCTGAAGAACATACAGAAACAACGCGATTTCTCTCTTTACAACTGTACCAGAACTTCACAGCTACAATGGGAGTATGAACACATGAGAAAATGACTTCACTCGAACAGGATTTAGAAAAGTCGAGGTGACCTCAGGGCTAGGGCACCCGCCTTGTGTGGTGAGGTTTACAGTCAGTCGTTCAGTAATGGAGTGTGTGTGCACGTGTGTGTGTGTGTGTGTGCGCGCGTGTGTGTGTATATATATACAGATATAAATAACCGTGTTCAGTCCTTTACAAGCCTGTAAATATGATGTTGTGCTCCATGTTCACTATTTGACACTTCAAATACACAGGCCATGCACAGCAGGGTTTCTTGTGTATCCCTGTTTGTTACCACCTGGAAAAAGAAAAAAAGAAAAAGGTTTCTATGAATCTTTTTACAAATATACCCATTACCACAAGGAGAAATCCACACTCCATCCGGGTTGTGACACCCATGGCTTTAATGGAAAGGACGGCCTTCAATTCAGCCTGTGACTTATTAGCGATTAGTCAAGATGACCTCTCCAAGACAATTTCAGAATAAGGCATAACTCATTTTATCAAGTTTTGCTTTTCTTTGTGTTGTAGATAATTTATTTTCTATAAATTGAAAACTTGTAGCAACCCTGCACCAAGCAAGTTACAGGTGTCATTTTTCCAAAGCATGTATTCACATATTCACACTGTGTCCCCATGTCACATTTTGGTAGCTCTCCCAATATTTCAAACTTTCCCATAATGCTGGCTCACTTGATACACTACACAGGAAAGCACTTGATCTCAGCGTCATCATTTATCCTGATTCAGGGCTTTTGGGACAAAGTAGAACATGCTCATAAGGGTTGCTGAGGCTGAAAAACTTTGCAGAAGTAAAATGCCTCATCCTTCCCTCATGGAGTGGCCTGTGGGTTTGAACAGCTGACCTTTTTGTTAGCAGTCCAACTCTTAGAGCTCCTTGCAGTATAGTATAAACACAATGCTTAAATATAGTTTATACATACATGTAATAATTTTATATATAGTTTAAACATATTTTTTACATCCATTAGCCATCAAAACAATCTGTATGACCCATTTTCTGGTATTAGTTCCTTTATTACAGTGATTGGAACTGCATGTGCAGACCTCTGAGGCATGCCTGTACTAAGGCTCTCACTTGAATCTTGTCTAAATTTGGTTACCATATGCTAGAAATGCCTCAGCGACATGGCCCTATCCCCAATCTGGGCCCAGCAAGAGTCCACAGGAATTATTTACTTTTATATATATTTTTTTAACAGCAAAGAGACTGACTCTATTTGTTATTCTGTCCTACAGGAGAAAAAATTATCCTAGGCAATAACACCATAACTTCTTAAACATTTACATTTTTTTACAATTGTCAATTACAGATAGCAGCTCTGTATCTTATTCAACAATCTACTAACCAGCAGTGTTCAGATCCAGTCAAGTATCTGGTGAATGAAAGAGCAGTGGTAAGACTTGAGCCATATCAAATAAAAATAATTTTTAATTCACACAGGCTCCATCTTTCAAAACTTAGTATTCTTGTCTGTTTTTTCTCTTTGGTTGAGTCTTTGAGCTTACCTCTCTTCTCCTGGCCCTGGGCTCAGCCTTTGTTCAAATCTTGTGCCCTCCTCTCCCCACTGGCCTTGAATGCCTTTGCTCCTCTCTCTGCTCTCACTTTCCCCTGAAGGTCCTCAGAACTCTCTGAAAGCAGACCTAAGCAAATATTCTTAGACCCTCCAATGACTCCATTTTAAGAAATAAAAGACAATCCATTCCTAATGCTACTTAATGTCCTTAACTTGCAAATTCACCTTCTGCTCTTCTGAGCTCTGCAGAGATGTACCAGGATTTAAATAACAAAACACAAATGCCTATGTAAACAGGATCTGCTGGCATCTCAAACGTTAACATTTACTCCATTTGCATGAAAAGACAACCTGAGAGGCGTCTACACCAAAGAAGGGTAATTTGTTGTAATATTGTGAATATCAAGTCAAGCTCTAACTCATGGCAACTCCATGCACCAACACTCCTCCCCTCCAACTGCCTGATCCTTCAACATCCATCCCCATGATCCCTTGAAGCGAGGACCGCCAAGGTCTGTAGGGTTTGCATTAGCTGATTTTTCAGAATTAGATCAATTACGAGGCTTTTCCTCCTGGTTCATGTTAGTCTGAAGGTTCCTCTGAAATCTTGTCAACAGTAAAACAACAGGCAAACGTCTATGTATAGATGAGTAGCAGCCACACATGAGCCCTGGCCAGAAACTGAAGCCAGAGCTTCCACATAGAAGGCCACAGAACCACCACTCCTCCCTAAAGACTAACGAAAGGACATGTATTTCACAACCCCGAGATGGGCCAACTTCAAATATGAAAGTTTCATGAACACATTTCAAACTATTGAGAATTTCTCCTTAAAACAAATCAAAGCTGTCTACCAAGTTACATATCTGTCAATTAAATGTCTGTGAACTCTGAGACTCACAGAATTATTTCTCATTAAACCTAGATGTACATTAGAACTCTTGGGAATTTAAAAAATAAATCAAAGATGATGTTGGAATGAACCCTTTAAGGATCTTAAAAAATCTTTCTAGATGAATGTTGTAGTTATGTTGCTTGGGACTCACAGCGACACTATGTATAAGAGCCCTAAACGCCGTTCTATCCTGTGCTAACCTCGCCGTCTCAAACGCACTTATTCCCACCACTCCAGTCACAGAATCGATCCATCTCATCAAAGGTCTTCCTCTCCTGCGCTGTCCCTCCACTCTCCCAAACATGATGTTCCTCTCCAAGGACCAGTCCCTCCTACAACATGCCCGAAGTATGTCAGATGAAGCTTCAGAATCCTTGACTCCAGGGAACACTCTGGCTTCACCCTCTCCAGGACAAACCTCTCTGTTCTCCTAGCAGTCCATGGTATATTCAATACTCTTACCCAGCACCACAGCTCAAAGGCGTCAATTCTCTTTCTACCATCCCTATTCCTTGTCCAGCTCTCTGATGCATAGCACGTAACTGCGAAGACTATAGCCCGGATCAGGCGCACCTTAGTCTCCAGCCTGATGTCGTTGCTCTTCAGTACTCGAGAGGTCCCTCACAGCTGACTTTCCCAATGCAATTCATCTCTTGATTTCTTGGCTGCTGTTACTAAGAGTGTTGATCGTGGAGCCAAGTAAACTAAAACTGTTAACTATCTCAATCTCTTCACCATCCATACTGATGCTGCCAATTGGCCCTGTGATGAGAATCTTTGTTTTCTTGATGTTGAGCTTCAATCCATAGAGGAGGCTGCTGTCCTTGATCTTCTGCAGCAAGCGCTTCAGTTCTCCTCAGTTTCAGCAAGGAGGGTTGTGTCATCTGCATAACGAAGGTTGTTGATGACTCTTCCACCAATCCTGATGCCGCATTCCTCCTCGTATAGCCCAGCATCTAGGATGATCTGTTCTGCATACAAACTGAAAAGGTATGGAGATAGAATACATCCCTGACGGACCCCCTTCTTGATTTTGAACCATGTAGTGGCTCCTTGCTCTGTTCTGAGGACTACCTCTTGGTCCAAGTATAGGTTTCACATTAGCACAATCGAATGTTCTGGGATTCCCATTCTTCTCAGAGTCAGCCACAGCTTGTTGTGATCCACACAGTCAAAAGCCTTTGCATAGTCAATGAAGTACAGATAGACATTCTTCTGGTATTCTTTGCTTTCTGTCAAGATCCATCTAACATTAGCCTTAATATCCCTAGTACCACAACCTCTTCTAAATCCAGCCTGCACATCTGGCAGTTCTCTGCTGACATATTGTTCCAAACATTTTTGGATAAATTTCAGCAGAACCTTGCTTGCATGTGATATTAATGATATTGTTCGATAATTTCCGCACTCCGTTGGTTCACCTTTCTTTGGAATGGGAACAAATATTGAGCTAGATGAATAGAGAGTAAATTAATAAGCTATGTTAAATTTTAACTTTTTCACCCCTTCTTATGCCCTTTTAAAGTTGCAGTAGAACTTTAAGAGGCTAACACAGAAGGGTAAAAGTGAGTCTCCATCAAACCCAGAGAGGAGATGGAAGGACTCCACTGTTTTTCCACAGTGGCATGTTGGAGTTGATACCTCCGTGCTCATGAGAGTTGATCAAATTCAAAAGCTTGGAAGTCAGGCAAAAGCTGGTAGCTTGAAAGTGCCTGTGGAGGGAGTTTTATTTACCTCTCACAAATTGGCAAAGGTTACTAATCAAAACTTATTTGGGAATGAGGGAAGAGCTTTTTCTTTTATATACACCGCTGAGAATCAGTATCCCAAGGATTCCAAAAATCCAAGGGGAAAAAAAAATAAATTCCTGCTCTAACTAGTCTATTTCTTTACCCTAGAAAGGAGGCAGGCCTTCAGAGGGCTGGTATCCAACCACAGTACCGCTCCGTGGTCCCTTTCACCACCTCTTCTTGGGCATTCTCCCTGCAGTTTCACCAGGAATGTTCTTTTTCAAAGGAGCCTCATGACATCCAATACTCTCTACTTTACAGATACATTTTCAAAAGACATTGTTATTAATAACCTTCCCAAATTCCCAAATGAAGCCCCAGTATGAAATCTATTTCAAAGTCATACATATAACTGCCCAGGGAAATGGGTAAGTTTTCCCATCATGGACATCAAAACTGTTCTTTTTTCTCTTTCCCCTTTAGCTGTCCATTAAGTGTTTTCCTTTTTTACTCCTGCCCATAAACCTCTAACTACACTTTTCAACTCTACGATAAAGGACATTTGCCTATTTCTAGTCACTGCATTCTGTTCTAATTTACACTTCTCTTGCTATTGAGAATTCATATTTTGCTATCTTATTGCATTGAGGCTGTTTACAATTACAGCTTGCTGGGCTCCACAATCAATATTCTTGGCACCAGCAGTGAGGAAATCGAAAGATGAATTGCACAGGGAAAATCTGCTGCCAGGGACCTCTCCAGAGTACTGAGAAGCAACGATGTCAGTCTAGAGACTAAGGTGCACCTGATCTAGGCCATGTCTTCACAATTACTTGCTATGATCAGAGAGCTGGATAATGACTACAGATTAACAGAAGAATTGATGACTTTGAATTGTGATGTTAGAGAAGAGTCTTGAACATACCATGAACATTTGAAGAAAACAAATAGGTTTATTTTGGAGAGGGTGAAACCAAGTTTCTCCTTGGAGAATAGTATTCTGAAATGCCATTTCATATACTTTGGGCACGTGGCCAGGAAGTACTGGTCCTTGGAGAAGGACATCATGCTTGGATGGGTGGATGGACAGTGCAGGAAAGGAAGACCCTGGAGAGATGGACTGATACAGTAACTGGGGCAATGGGGGTAGGTATGCTAGAATCAGTGAGATTGGCTCAGGACAGAGCAAGGTTCAAAGCTGTTGTACATAGGGTTGCTATATGCCGCAGGCGACCAATGGCACATAACAACAACAGTGACATAGTAGGTTGCTAACTAAAAGGTTAGAGGCTCAAATTCACCAGCTGCTCTGCAGGAGAGATGGGCAGTCTTCTATCGTCTCAGAAATCTGATGAGCAGGAAGTGATAGTTTTTTGGATTACATGTTATGCCCTACAAGTCCTTTGTGGAATGTGTCAAGATAGATTTAAAAGCTTTGACCCAACTTTTGCCTTACCTTTGATTTGTATACTTGCTGATGCCACGATTTCACAGTTAGTAACCTTGAACTCATTATTATCTGAGGAACTTCCAAAAATACCCATGTGTGGAGCCTATCTTTAGGGATTCTGATTTAAGGCCTCTAAGATCTGTCTGATGTGCAGCCAAGGTTGAGAACTATGACCAAGGACACTGCTTTTTATTGCCCAGCTAAATCCCAGGCTCTAAGCTGAGAAGTTCTTGCCAAGGAAACTCCTTCTCTTCACAGACTGAAATCCAAATCAAGCCCCCAAGTTTGCCCCCTGATGCTGCAACTCTGCCTGCTGACTGAACACCTGGGCCCCCACCTGTAGCCTGGTGAGTTCCCTGGGCTCAGGTTAGGGTTAGGTCCCCTAGACCTCGGTATCATCTAAGATGGGAAAGAGTTAAAACCATTACCAATAAAATTGTGAAGTTTTCCAAAACACTGTTCATCATATATTTCTCTGGTAAGTGTTTGAGCTTGTGGATGAAGTTGATCATATATTCACACATCGGGGAGCGGTTTATTCGGTATACAAATCGGCCGTTCTCAAACCTTGCATACTCCGTCTGTGAGGGGAAAAAGGATTTGAGAAATTGCATGTCTAACTTGAAAATGTATGACACTGATATTACTGCCTGCAAAAACATTTCTCTTAAAAGAATTCACCATCTGCTGTATGCTGAATTATTTGTTTCCTTAAAATAAAATTATATCACCAAACTTACCACTATACATAGAATGCATTTTTTCCCTAGAAATTTGAGGGGGGGGGGATAAAGTTGGCCAAAAGACAGCATTAAAGGAATTCAATTTTTAAAAACTGGCTTTCATTCACTCATTCACTTACATTTAGTTTTATAACATTAATTAAAGTGATTAATATCATTTATTACAATGTCTCATCCAATCCTCACTGCATCTTGCCTTTCCCTTCATTTTACCCACCTATGCACTAGTTCTACAGATTACTTGTAGCAAAAGTCAGGGGGGAAAATACTAGCTACTTGGGTGCTCTCTTCTTGATGAAGATCTGTGAGAACTGACCCCAGTGTATTCCTATAGTCCCAAAGGCTATACCTCCTGTCTATGCTGAAGTCTCACAGACTGATACTGAACAAAGTTAGTCTCTTGGCTATGGACAATCAATCGTATTAAGAGAAAATGTCTAGGAATTGTATGTTTATGATTGTATGGAAAATCAGTAATTTATAATCCTTCACTCAAATTTTAAAAAAAGAGATGCTGAAAAAGCACCTAAAAAATACAGCTATTAAATCACTGTTGTTGCTGAGTGCCAGTGAGTCATAAGCAACTCACAGCTGACCCTCCAGTGGGTTTTGAGGGGCAGAAAATCACACGAGAGGAGACGGCCCATTTTTCTCTCACAGAACAGCTGATGAATTTGAACAGCATATCAATGGGCTGGCAGCACAATTCCTTACCAAATAAGTCACCAGAGTTCCGTATACAATAGGAAACAAATATACTGTATAATAAAGACTAATTATAAAAGACTAAAAATACTAATTGGCAAAAAAGAAAAACCAACCCAACATTATTTGCTATTAAGATAACCATATAAACATATATGCCATTACTAGTTCTATTTACAACTTTGTTGGATATTTTAGAAAAAAAAAAATAATAAAAAGCTAGCATAAACATTAGGGGGGCAAGTGGAAAAGAAAAAAGGAAAGTAAGTCTTTTTGCTCCTAATATGATATGATTACACACAAATCTAAGACTTTATGTTGAAAACATACTGCTGTTACAAAGGTTAATTTGGTAAGATGAACAGATAAAACAGACATATAAAAAAAATCAATCACTTTTTCCTATTATTCCAACTAGAATTTAGAAATGAGGAATTAATGATTTTTATATATTATATATAAAAAATTATTTAACAACTACATAATTTTAAGAATGTATTTTAGAAAGAAATATAGCTACATGACAAAATTTAGATCATTTTATTAAAAGATGTATGTTGTTGTTGTTATATGCCGTCGAGTCGTTTGCGACTCATAGCGACCCTATGCACAACAGCCCTAAGCCCTGCTCTATTCTGCGCCAAACGCACTGCCTCTAACACACCCATCCCGATTACCCCAGTCACCGAATCAATCCATCTCATAGAGGGTCTTCCCCTCCTGTGCTGTCCCTCCACCCTCCCAAGCATGATGTCCCTCTCCAAGGACCCGTCCCTCCGGCAACATGTCCAAAGTATGTCAGACGAAGCCCCAGAATCCTTGCCTCCAAGGAGTAGCTTGGTTTAATCCTCTCCAAGATGAATCTGTTTGTTTTCCTGGCAGTCCATGGTACATTCAATACTCTTCTCCAGCACCACAGCTCAAAGGCATCAACTTTCCTTCTGTCCTCCCTAGTCATTGTCCAACTCTCTGATGCATAAGAAGCGACTGCAAAGACCATGGCCTGTATCAGGTGCACCTTAGTCTCCAGAGAGACACCGTTGCTCTTGAGTACTTTAGAGAGGTCCCTAACAGCAGACTTTCCCATCGCGATATGCTTTTTGATTTCCTGACTGCTGGTGCCAAGAGTGTTGACTGTGGAGCCGAGCAAACTGAAGCTGTGAACAATCTCAATCTCTTCGCCATCCATCCTGACGCTGCCAATTGGTTCAGTGGTGAAAATCTTTGTCTTCTTGACATTGAGCCTCAGTCCATACTGAAGGCTGCACTCCTTGACCCTTTGCAGCAAGTGCATAGTAAGATGGAATTGCAAGAATTGGTTGGGAGGATTTGATTGCAAAAAATTCACTGAACTTGGTGCAAAGAGTTTGGGGTATACTGTACCTGTCCTTTAATTTTACTGAAAAGTAAGTGATCTAATTTTACTGAAAAGTTGGCTCAGAAGGATGGACAATCTCATTCCAGGCGATTAACGGCCTCTGAAAACCCGCTGGAGGGTCAGCTGTGGGTCAGTTCTGACTCAAGAGTACACAACAACTTTCAAACAACTGAAGCAACTCCTACTTACATCAAATTATTCATCACAATTGCCTTCATCTGCTAACTGGTGGCTTTTAAAGCCTTTTCTTGTACTAAACCAAACTGCTGTCAAGTTGTTTTGGGGACACAGTGACCATGCAGGACAGTGTGAAATTCTCACTTGGTTCTGAGGCTGTAAATGTTAACAGGCTAATATACTTCATCTATCTTCTGCAAAGTTGCTGGTGGGTTCAAACTATTAACTCTGACAGTTAGCTATCCAACTCTTAAACAATACCACCAGAGAGGATGTGCATGTACAGAAAAGTATTTTTTCATCACCCATATTATGGTTGTTGTTGCCATTAGGTGCCATCAAGCTGAGTATGCCTCACCATGACACTGTTAGAAACAGACCTGAACCATATCTGCACCATCCTCATCACTTGAGCCCATTGCTGTAGTCAACACGTTAATCCATATTTCCAAATTCTACATCTGTATCTATTCCTGGCTATTTCCTCCTCTTGGATACGTTATTTCCTTATTACTGGTGGTGACCATACTGTCATTTAAAGAAAATAGAAAAGAAGTATGTGTAATCTTTAATACATCCTCCTCTTTTATTAATATCTAATCAGTTCCAAAGTTATATTACAATTTCTGCCACCACTTTAGTAAAGCTCACTAAGCTTTAACTACTTGGTTCACTCATTTATATCCTGTCCTGTCAGCATGTTGTTGTTAGGTGTCATCAAGCTAAGACTCATAATGACAGTATGAACAATGGGTCTGACTCTAAGCTCTCTGTATGCCCACGCCTATTGACTCCAGGCACCATGCCAATCCATCTTTTTGAGTGTCTTCCTCTTTTTCTCTGACCCTCCACGTTTTGCAGCATGATGTCCTTTCCCAACTACCAGCTTCTCTTGACAAAACGTCCAAAGTATGTGAGTCGAAGTTTCACCATCTGTGCCTCATAACCCTCCTTCAGACTATACTTACTAAGCCCAGGCTGTGCTCAGGAACCTACAAGGGCTTGCGGAACACAAACCCCTCCTGGACAACCCAAGATCTGAAAAAGACCATGCCTCTCTCTACATGCTATACACTCACTCTCACTCCTTCACACAATGTGTCTGTCACAGCCACTCTCCTCAATGGCCCAGGGCTACTCCCAGCAAAAACAGTGCTGGAAACCCCAACTTTAATGGAATGTTAATTGTCAATATTATTCACATACAGTAAAATGTGTGTGTAAATGTGTGTGTATGCATGTACGTGTATATGTAAGTTGTTGACTGCCTTCGAGTCGAGCAGGACTCATAGCAACCCTATGAACAAAACGCCTAAAGCCTTTCTATAACTACTGACATTTATCAAAGTTCATAGAGTTTCTGGAGGCATGCTGTTTAGGAAGTGGATGCCACTCCTGCTTCAATTACATATATATCATTTACAAGGCAAAGCTTTTCATACTTTGGCCTGATAGCTGGGCAAGGCTATTCCTTGGAAAGGGACATCATGCCCAAAATATGGAGTATCAGCAAAGGAGAGGAAGATCGCCAAAAGGATGGATTGACACAGTACTTCAGCTCTAGTGTGTCGGAAATGATGAGAATGGCACAGGATAGGATAGGGTTCAGGTCAGCTGTTCACAGGGGTGCCATGAGTCATACTCATCTCAATGGCACCTAACAACAACAACAATATATATGTGAGCTCTCATGGCCTACTGTTAAGAAGCTGCACTAAAATCCAAAGACATGTAGAGAAGCTGCAATAAAATCCAAAGACATGTAGTTTGACTTCATCAGCTATTTGCTCCACAGGAGAAGAACGGCCAACCTCCTCCCATGGGATTTACCGCCTCTGAAAGCACCCTGCAGGGTCAACTATGGGGTGGTACTGACTTGAGTGTAAAAGCCATCAGTAGGTATTTGATCCCTATAAATAAAGAGATAGAAGAACTCATCTCTCAGAATCCAAACAGCTTCACACGTGAGCCTACAAAGGAAAATTCAGCTGGGTATGAACCAACTTTTAAATACCCAGGCCTGTGTCCCAGGCCCTGACTGGCTCTAAACAGGAGGCTTCATGTTTGGTATGAACACTCTTCTAAGTGGCACAGCGCTTATCTGTCAATTCGCTGTACTGAGGTAACTTGGGGTTGCTGTGATATTGAAAGCTGTGCCACCGGTGTGCCAAATGCTATAATGATTACCCATGGCGGACAGTGGTTGGTGGAGTTCCCAGATTGAGAGAGGCTTGGAAGCAGGAGTGCCATCTGCTTCCTAAACAACATACCTCTAGAAACTCTATGAACTTAGAGAAATGATGATATTATAGATTAGGTTCAGGTCTTATGTTCATGGGGTCACTATGAGTCGTGCTGAATTCTATGGCATGTAGCAACAACAACAAGATATAAAGAGATATGCTACAACAAGGGCACTACAAATTACAAAAGGAACATTATCATAAGGAATTTAGAAGACAGGTGCACAAGAGCCGGATGTCACCCTTTCTATTATCTCTAATCGGAGTCTCTGATGGCCATGGGATAAGAGTGGAGGGAGTGAATATCACTGGGACCCTCCTGCTTCTGGTAGGTGGTAGATCTTAATCTATAATCCCCAGGTCTCACATTAGGGCCCCTTCACAAGGGCTCATGGAGAGGTGAACACTCCATGTCAAGCAGGGCAGACATCAGACAGGGAAGGGCTGGCATGCAACCTCTCTCTCTCTCTTTTTTTTTTTTATTAAAAACTCATTGCCATCAAGTTGGAACAAACTCAGAGCTGACCCTCCAGTGCACTTTCAGAGGTTGTAAACTGTGAGGGGGGAGATTGCCCACTTTTCTCCCATGGAACCTTTGGTGGAACAATTACCCATTTTTTCTCCCATTTGAACTGTTTGCCTTTGGGTTGCAATGCAACTCCTTACCCACTAGGCCACCAGAGAACTTTCACTTTTCCCCCCTTTGTGTTTCACAAACAGCAGGGGAAATCTGGGTTAAATGGGAGGGAAGGAGAAGATTTACCTAAAATTCAGTACAGGTGAGAAGACAATGGTAAACCCTGGAGTGAAAAGTTTCTATATTGAGAAGCCAACTTACCTCTACTTTTTCTACTACTTGCTTCCCAAATGAGCAGACTTTGGTGGAGCAGGTGACGGTCATATTTTCAGAACTTTCATACTGACTTGTTACACCATAAAAAGCTCCAGCATCATCTTGAATATTGCAGTTTAAATCCGCCTGTTGCAAAGACAATGGAGGTGGGGGTTAATCTCATCCTGTGCATCCCGGAAACCAGCTAACTATTAGGGCACGGCCTCTACTTGTGGGAGGGCAGGGACAGCACCGGGAAGTGATGTTTATCTAGGAAAAAAGTACTCATGGGCCAGATCTGAAGTGGGTGTGAATGTGGGCAATCTTCCCTTGAGATAAAACACAACCCACATCAATTTCATTTTACTTTGATCCTTTCACTATGAGAACGCTGACCTTTACAATGAAAGCTCCATGAGACTTTGAAAAGAGACAGTAAATCAATCCGTTTCCACATAAACTCCTCTAGAGATCTTTTTTTTTTAAGTGAACAAGAGAATCTGCAGTGAAGCTTTTGTTACACACATAAAACAGAAACTTAATTAAAAATTGCAGCACCTGGAGTAGAAATGGTTCCTATTAAAAACTAGCTTAGAGCATGCTTGATAATTAGCACAAATTGTCACCCAATTGAGCACACTTTTAATGGATATCTGTGATATGAGACCTACTGCAAATCTAACACCTGAGATACGTAAATAAAACAGCTATACCAGAATAAAGGCTACATAGTGGAGTGGACGTGGGGGGAGGGATTGTTTAATAATGAAAGAATTTTTCTTTTATTTTTCAAAGAGAAGAGTAAACTGGGGGAGGAAGGGTCGGCGGGAAGAAAAGTACAACAATGCATGAATGGAAACCCAAAGTCTGTAAATTCTCATTAAAATTAAAAATAATAAATAAAATTTTAAAAAATTTAACAAGAATAAAGTTCCATTGTGTTAAAAAAATCCCCAACAACAAACAAACAAACAAACAAACAAACCCAAAACAGCTATAGTTCACACTGAAAAGAAAGGCCATGTGGAGTGTTTGGAATTTAGACAATAGGAGGCACTATTCTCGACTTGAGGCATTATTTACAAGGATGCTGAAGAGGCATTTCCAGAGTCTATTAGGATTGAGACATGCAGAGAAGGGCTGAGGGGTAATAAATAGCACGGCAGGAATGCCTTGGGGGGGGGGGGGCGGAAAGATTTTGGTCTCATATCCTAATAAGCTACTGGGTGCAGGAATTGTGAGGAGATAGAAGGGGGATGGTGAGAGAGATCTGTATCAGATCTGTATCCCCAGAATGCCACTGTCTGGACAGGTCTATAGAAAAGAGCAAGAATGACTGCTCAGAAAGAAACATTAGGAACCTAATGTTACAGTCCTGTAAGACAGGACAGTATCTCAACTACTGTGCTGGTGACTGAGAAGTGGCTAGATCTGATACCTAAATAAGCGTACAAGTTTTGAACATTCTGATTAATTTTAGCACGCTGGTGAGAATGAGACGTCAGCATAGATTCTAAGAAGATTAGCTGAGCATATATTTATTTCTAAAAAGTATATGGGTTTTTTTTGTTTGTTTTTTTGCCTTTTTCTTCTTGAACTAAGTATCAGGAAAATGTCCATCTCCTTAGGCAAAACTGGAGTCAAATGAAAAGAACCTTACAGTCCCCTTCTCACCTACTGTGCCAAGAAATTTAACAATGGATTCAGTGCTCAACTGCAGTCGTTAATGTATTCCAGGTGTTCCTAATAGCTACTAACAACCAATGTTAGCTCCTTTTATTTGTTTCCAGGCTGCTTTTATTTGTACTTGTCCATAAATTTTGTTAGCTTCCTTCCTTTTTGCTTTTTGGAACCATATAAAGCATAAATCGCAAATAAATGAAAGAATCCAGGTGTGATGCATTTACCACAAATTCAAAGGTTTCATGATTGGCTCCATAAAAGTACCGCTTAGGTGGTAGAGGACACAGGTCTTCTCTAACTAAGATCAACATCTGAGTTATTCAAGACCAACAGTAGCTGGCTCTGCTGAGGCCCCAGCTTCCAGCACAGAAGACAAGACCCCAGTACTGCCTAGTAATCTAGGCACACAAGGTGTTCTAAACTGGAGTTACCACCATGCTTCCATAAGGCAGCTTCTGGAGCTTCTTAAAGCAGTAACTCAAAATGAGCCTTCAAGAACTGCATTGCACAATACTGTTTGGCTATAATTTTGGAGGGAGTTCTGGGGGCTTAGTGGTAAGAACTTGCACTGCCAACCCAAAGGCAAGTGGTTCAAATTTATCAGCTGCTCAGAGGGAGAAAGATGAGCGAGACTCCTGTGCAATTCACAGCCTCTGAAAGCCCGCTGGAGGGTCAGCTATGAGTCAGCTCCAAACTGATGGTACAGAACACCGCCACCACTGGAGTATATTTCTTTTAAATATGTTTTTTGGTGTTTTGCAGTAATGGATTATTCTTCTGGGGGGATTTAGGCTGTTATTATTATTATTCTTATAATGTAATTTGTGTCAAAAAACTTTACCACTTTTAAAAAAGTAAAATCTGCAGTGGTAACCAGGGTTTTTTACCCCTTTGTTCTAAAATGTTTGTCTTTAAAAATATGTATTGCTCCGCTGGCACAAAGGAGGAAAGCAGAAAAGAAAGTGTAGTTTTGTTTTGTTTAAAAAAAAAAAGTGAGGGAGCATAGAAGCTGGCGGACTCAGTGCTTTCTGTAGATTCTTTGCACCGAAGACTTGGGTTTAACAGGTCATAGTTGGGAACAAGAGACAAAGTATGTGGCCCATACAGAATGGAAGAGTAGATCAGAAATTGTCAGAAGTTGGGATCCACAGTGGGTTACAGTGCAAAGGAAATCTTTGCTCATTTTAGTCTTGACTCTGAGTCGGAGTATCCCTTTGGATATACTTTCAGAGGTAATCTAAATGAAAACACAGTCCTTTTTCGAACAAATAGTTGTGCATTATGTTAACTTTTCTGAACCTTAGTCTTTTTTAAAAAATAGCTACACTCCCTATCAAGTCTACTACAACCCACAGCAATGTTATGAACAACTGGTCTGAACCTTGCCTTATCTTGTACCATCCCCACAATCTCCGCTATGTTCCAGCCCACTTGGATAGGCACTGCGTCAATTCATCATAAGGGTTTTCCTCTCTCACCTTTCCCATCTTTTTCCAAGGACTGGCCCGTCTGGACAACATGCCCAAAGTCCAGGAGATGATGTTCACCACCTTTGTCCCTAACGAGCAACTTGGTTACACCTCTTCCAAGACAGACTATAAAACCTTGTCTTCAGAAACCATTCCAACAAATGATGAGTTTAAAGCTATGCAGGTTAACATTTTAGCAGAATGTACAACAAACATTAAAAAAAAAATACGTAAATTCTGCATTTACATCTTGCTCCACTTTAATAGAGTGAATAGGACAGCATGATTGGCATCCAGGTAGAGGAAGAGACTGCATAACGCTTTGTTTTGCATTTGTTTCCATTGTAACTATTCCCACAACTCACTGTCCTAACTTCTAATATCACACATTCAATTTAGCTGGATTTCTTTGGCCCTCAAGAAATCGAACTGCAGTGTTTACTTCTTTGTGTTTAGCTTCATTTATCCTAATATTTCTGAAATTCTTCAATGTGTGAGTTCATTCATTCTTATTACTGCCTTCCATTGACTGGGTTATACTACAATTTTACTTCTGATGGTCATTTAAGCTATTTCCAGACTGGGCTTATTATGATGACTGCTACTGGGAACATTCTTGTGGAAGCCACCTTATAGACACATAGGTCACAGGACATTTTAGCTTTCACATAGTTGAGAGGCATAGATGGTTTTTTTATGGGCTCATTAAGGTTGGGGGTTTCTCCCCTTTTTTCCTCATTAAGGTTATATTTCATTATTAGTATACATTTAACAAGTTAGATTTTAAAAGGCCTCCCACCTTTTGACAAACTTATTATCACAATAGCTTTGCAACTACCATTGAACATGGAAAAGAATCACATAGCCAGCCAGCCAACCATATCACAGATGATCTTGAGGCATTTTCTAGGGGTAGGTATTGATGTGAAAGAAAATTATCTGTCAGTTGATAATATTACAGTGATCCTAGAAAAAAACTGTGGTCACTTAGCTCCCATGACATAAAGGTGGTATTAAAGGAAGAATGCTACAAGTAGATGCTTTAATGAGGCTGACAGTGGAGCTGAACTCTTGACTCACTGGAACCACTCCATTGACTCATTCTTCCTACAATTGAAAAGTCAAGGTGTATATCAATCTGTTTCTCATGGTTCTGAGGACAGCAAATTTTAGGGGGCGGGAGAGTGCTCTAACCAGAGTCTCATTAGTATTCAGTTGACTCCAAGTACATCCTGGTATTTCTGTCTAATCAGCTTTTATTTGACCTTACGCTATTTTTTAAAAGCAAGATTTTTATTTTAAATGCAAAAAACTGCTAAAATCTAACAAACTTACTTTGCCAACACAAATTCCAAATTTAAACCACATCTCTCCTCTAGGGATGTAGCACCTTAAGTCGTTCGTGGGTCAGGTACTAAAGTGTTGAAGAGGGGTACTTCCACACATGACTGGGGAACAAGTGCAGCGAAACAGAGATGAGGTCCCCAAGTGCAAACTGGGCTCAGAGTCAAATCTCCCATCTCTGAAAGCAGAAATCCTTTCCACAACATCCTGGCCCTCATTGCCTTCTTGCTAGTCTCTCCAAATAGGAGTATAATTTTCCTTATTATAATACTTATAGTATTGCTGGAATGTCTTCAGTGTTAAGACAGCAATGCCTCCCCCGCCCCCATGTTATTAGTTTCTTATTGCTGCTGTAACAAATTACCACAAAAATTATTGTCTTTTGTAATTCTGCAGTCGGCAGTCTGACCCACGTCTCACTAGGTTAAGATGAGGGGCTGGGCAGGGCTGCGTTCCTCCTCTCTGGAGGCTCTCGGGAAGAATCCGTTGCCTTGTTATTTTCAGCTCGCAGAAGCTGGCCCCATTCCTTCGTTTGCTGTCTCCCGCAGCCATGGGCAGTTGTGCTGCTAATCCAAAGGTCATGCCTTTCCAGAAATTCAAACAACCAGTTGCTCCACAGGGGAAAGATGTGCAGTCTCCTCCCATGTGATT